TTCGCACAGTCTGAGGGTCCTTTAGTTGCTTTTTTGCAAATTCTAAGTGTGTTTTCATGTGTCTTAACTGAAGAGAGGATTGAGTTTGGCCACACCGCCATAAAGACAGTGGTGTGATAAAGTCAGTGCAGTGGTGTTTGTCCTTCTGTAGTTTTCTCCTATCAATATATATATATATATATATATATATATATATATATGTATCGTATAATGAAACTTTGCATGCAACAGGCTAGATTTTAAGACCCGACAATTTGACTCAAATATTGAGAATATTGAGCTAATTTAGCTTTTGTTTCTGTCTGACAGGCTTCGACTGCCGGTGCGGACACTTGTTTTGCAGCATTCACAGATACTCAGATGTTCACAACTGTAGCTTTAATTACAAGGCTGATGCAGCTGAGAAAATAAGGAAGGAAAACCCGCTTATCGTCAGGGAGAAAATCAAGAAGATTTGAGCTGAAGATCGCAAAGATGTTTTTTTTTACCCTTTTCCTTGAAACCTTGAATTGTGCATGCTACAATGAAACGCATACGCAAATTTATTTTGTCGCTTTGTTTCAATTTACCTCTCAAATTTATTTACTTACAAAATACTGTGGTATGTAAACAGCAAAATATTTATATAATTAGTAATTAAATTTGCATTAATAAATGGGTTTCAGTTCTCATATGCTGAGGCGACCCGGGTGACCGTGCGTTTCTGGTGATGAACAAAGCTTGCATGTGAAAACATTGCCAGAATGAGTCTTCTATTTTTATTTCAGGTTTTTTTTTCAATAACGATTGTAAGCAAGAAAATGAAATTATTTACTTAATATAAAAAAGGATAATGTTTTATTATCAATTACTGTATTTGCTGCTTCATCCTTGGTTTAAAAAACTAAGAGGTTTATAAGTCATTTCAAATATACAAATTATGTTTGCGACTGCGGTCTCTGGTTTAACAGGTATTTTGCACTTCATTACAGACTGTGATTTACATTTTTCTTATAGCTCGTTTATTAGAGTGAGTGAAAGTTGCGAGTGGCTTTATTTATGTTTGTGTATTCACTCACTGCATTCATGCTCAATAAAGTTTTACACATCACACTGTAGTAAGCGCTCTAGTGACTCAGTTTAGCCAAGTTTACAGTCTCCCTAGTTTGTTTACTTGCATTATATGTCTGTGCTATTAAAAGCAGAGTAAGTGATTTCTGGTAGCCAATGTTGATATTTGAAATCACCAAAACAAACACGCCCCTACCCCAAAAGGGTCTTGCCCATTGTGATAGCTCCGCCCCACATATACGTACGCAACCCAGGCAACGATTAGTTCTGTGAAACAAAGCAAAACCAATGTTACACCGTGTCTATGGACGTGAGCGGCGCAACAAATCCCCGACAGAAAACTGCTGCCGGGTTCCATTTATGACGTGCTGACACACATTTCAAATGGTTTTCAACGGTCGTTTGATCGCGTCCAGTGTAGGCAGACTTTAGCTGTTGTAGACACGGTGTTACTCACCTATTGAGAAGAAACAAAGCAACCTCGGCGTCCGATTGCAGGCCTCCGCTCCTCGAGTTCTCTCCAGCGCTGGAAAGCTGATCCGATATTTACACGGGTCCTACTTCTTGCCTTATCGTTCCGCAGACGTTTTCCTCTTTTGTTTTTTATCCGCCATCTCTATCTTTCTGTCGCTCGGCTCGGCTAATGTCCGTCCCATGCACTGAACACGCTCTCCTCCACATCACGAGTAGACACGCCCCTTATTGCTGATTGGCTACAAGTTTGTTTTGCTATTCGGCCCGAATCAGTTTTCTAAGTGTTTTTGAAAAATCACATACCCTGCCTTTAATGTTAAAATTCATCATAAGACTGGCGTTTAAGGGCAACACTGCTGCAAAATCTTGCTATTAGTTTTACGCTGCAATGTTTAAAGGTACAAAATATTACTATTGTATGTTTGTTTTCCGACAGCAAGCTGAACACAGTCATTACTACATCTGTGATATCACGGAGTAGTAACAGCAACAGTACATTGTAGATTATGAAACTTAATAACGAAACGAAAGAAAAACACACCCATAGCACGCGCACACAAAAGCTGAAGTCATCTGCATAATATTTTAGTCTGAATGCTGAACAATTATACCTTAATTCATTCTTATTATGATACAATACTTGCCTTTCGAGTGCTGTTGTAAATGATCTTTTACATAATGCATGAATTTGTATGATTTTTGCTTAACCCTGACTTACAGTGGGTATAGAAAAGAATCACCCCCTTTAAAATAATCACATTTTGTTACTTTGCACAGTTTGTTTTATCCAGCTGTATTTACTCAGTGCAACTTATATCATCCAAGTGAAAAATATAACAACACCAACATGGAATATGTTTATTCAGTTACTTCTGTCTATACAAAAAACTTTCTCGTTAGACAATGTTTTTATTAGGTTGTCACATAAAAAACGTTCCTAGAACATTAGGAATTAGTTCGAATAATGAAAACCATACCCTATAAGTAACGTTCTGCGGTTGTTACTTTTCTGCTGAGTCACGTCGAATAGACGAAGTGTACTTGATGTAGGGAGGATAGAAGCGGGCGTCTCTGATGGGCTCGCCGCTTCGACACGTGAGGCGGTAACTTTCATAATTCATATGTCTCAAGTGAACATCTGGATGAGGTTACTCGCGCTGCTCTTTATTCTGAGGAGTATTTCAGAGTACGACTGCAACTTCAAAATGTCTTTCGTAAAAGTGGAGGAGAAAAGTGACTTTTCTTATCACAACTTGCCTTACGGAGTTTTTTCCACGCCGGATAATGTGAGTACACGCTTTATGTAGTCCTGGGAATGACAGTATGTTTGGTTGAACTGAATTAACAAAGTCTTGCTATGTAACAAGAGCGCGTTTTAACTTTATAAAACGACTGAATGATGTTACTTAGAATATTATTTCTTCCATTGCATTTCTGTGTGGACACAAGGTTTCAAAGGTCAGAATGCACACTGAAAATCTAAAGTAAACCTTTATTGTCAACAAAGCTTTTATTGGCTTCTACAATATTGCAAAAGTATAATGTGTATAAGTATTAAAGGTTACTATATATATATATATATATATATATATATATATATATATACACACACATATATTATTTGAACGTTGAGCATGTAAAGTCTTTTGGAACATCTATAATTATGCTGGAGAACATTATGTGTCATAAAAGCAAATACATTCTAAAATCCATGCAAAATTCAAAAAGTCAACAAGGTCCTTTCTTACTTATACCACATATTTGTATAAAACAGTCCAGGCACAGAATTGGCGTTGCTATTGGAGACCAGATTTTGGACCTCAGTGTTATCAAGCATCTTTTCAATGGACCGGCTCTTGGACCCCATCAGGATGTTTTTGAACAGGTGAGCATCAGTGTAGTTTTGTATTAAGTTGGATTCTTCTGCATCCTTATGCTTTTTTTTTTCTTCTTCTTCTTCTTCTTCTTCTTCATCAAAGCCCACACTCAATGCTTTTATGGCTGTGGGTTATGATGCTTGGAGAGAGGCGAGAAAGTGCCTCCAGATGCTTCTAGCTGCAAACGAGTCCACGCTGCGTGATGACGTCAGTTTAAGAAGCCGGTAAATGTCCCTCCTACGATATGGATATTTCAATTGGTTACTGTACTTCTTACTGTATATTACTAAGTATGCACTGTATACTGCCTATATGTGACCCTGGACCACAAAACCTTTTTAAAATTAAGATTTTAAGAAAATTAACCAAAGCAGCAAATACTGATTACAAAGAAACAATTTCATTGGACATTTGCCCAATTCAGTTACAAATATTCGAAATATTCATGGAACATGATCTTTACGTAATATCCTAATGATTTTTGGCATAAAAGAAAAATCGATCATTTTGACCCACACAATGTATTTTTGGCTATTGCTACAAATATACCCCAGCGACTTAAGACTGCTTTTGTGCTCCAGGGTCACATATGTGGAACTGTACGCATTTATACATTTGTCATTTTTTATTTATTATTTTATTTCTTTATATAAATGTATTAATTTATTTATTTAAATCAGGAAGCTGAAGAAAAGTTTTATTTATTATTTTATTTATTTATTTAATATTAATTTACAAAATTATTTAAATCTGGAAGCTGAAGAAAAGTTCCTTATGGCATTGTGTGTGTGTGTGTGTGTGTGTGTGTGTGTGTGATTTCCAGGGCTTTTGTTCAGCAGACTTCTGCAGTGATGCATCTCCCAGCTGAGATCGGTGAGTGTGACCGTGAAACAGACGGCTTTAACTCTGGGCTGTATTTCATATACAACTCTTGTTTCAACTCTTTTCTTCAATATAGATTTAAAGTTAACATGACATGCCTTTCTCAACTTCCATTTTTACTTCCATAATCTGATATATTTCAGAATAAAACAGGATATTCATCTAGACAAAATGCACAGTGAGACTTGATTTTATTCATAAAGAATTGATTGGATCATGAAAAGTGGTGTTACATACCAGAATTAAGCCTGGTGTTGAAGAGCTGAAAAATAAGAGGGATTTCTGATGAGTGCCGAAAAGCAAAGCTGAGGCGGAGCAGGTTATTACATTTTGATGAAAGATTATAAAGACTATTTTTTTTCTTTGGAAAGCATGCACTGATGAATAATACATACATCAGCACATTCCTGTTGACTTTAAAGCAGTCAATGCTGTCTGAATTTGACTAGTGTCACTAAAACTGTCCTGTAGAGGCAGAAGTCATGGTTCTGTTCCATAATGATCACTAGAGTGCACTGTTCACTAACTATAGCTGTCAGAGCCATTCACAAACCCTCTCTCATGCCATGAAAGATTGCAGCCTTCTGTTTGTTGTGCATTATGGGATGTTTTCCTACGTTTTTTTTAGGATAGCACAGATTAAAAAAAAAAAAAGTTTCTACTGGATAAACATTTATTAAAAACTTGTCACGTTTTATTAAATTCTTGTCAGCGTTGAATTACTTATGCAGTTATTTGAGCATTTATTATTATTTATAGAATATGTATTATTATATCTTTTGAAAACTTTGTAGTTTTTAATGCTTAATACTCTTGTAAGAAATGTAAGATTAAAGTATAAAAATCTCCCATTGATTTACATTGATAGAATGCTGATCAGATTCAAAATGTATCTGATAATGATTTCATGATATTATTAAATACTGAGTTCTTGATTGGTCTTTCTTGCACAATTTGAGCATATAATTGCATTATGAGCAGATAGCTGCAGGTGCATGGCCAAGAGGAGTGCCTAAATACAAGTTAAAAATCTAGTGATTATTGAATGAATGTTTCTTTTGTAAGTTTCTGGATGTGGGAAAGTTGGAAGACCTTGTAAAAGGTGGTTTTAATATTGACTTGATGAAGGAGTTACGGGATAGTTCATCCCAAAATTTACATTTAATTTTACATCACCAGTCAGAAGTTTGCAATAATAATAATAATAATAATTTCTTCTTTTTTGTTTTTGTTTTTGAAAGGTCTCTTATGCTCACCAAGGCTGCATTTATTTGATCACAAAAAAAGACCAGTAATGTAGTGAAATATTGTTACAATTTAAAATAACTGTTTTCCATTTGAATAAATTAAAAAATGTAATTTATTTCTGTGATCAAAGCTGAATTTTCAGCATCATTACTCCAGTCTTCAGTGTCACATGATCCTCCAGAAATCATTCTAATATGCTGATTTGTTGCTCAGTTATTCATAGTTATTATTGGTGCTAAATGATAACTAATGGTTCTTATTATTATCATCAGTAGTTTTTGCTGTTCAAATAGAAAACAATATTTTTTTATTGTAATAATATTTATTAATAACAAATATTAGTGTTTTTACTGTATTTTTGATCAAATAAATCCAACATTGGATTAAAAAGAAAATTTTAAAATCTTAATTGTTCCAAACTTTTGAACGGTAGTGTATTACTTTTATGTAAATAATTTATTTTTGTAAATGTTGTTCTTTTATTCCAGCTGTTATTCCATTGCATTACTTTCTTTCTTCCCTGAAACACAAAATAAATAATCTTTACTCTCCACTGGGGCTCTGAAATCACTTTTTTAGGAACATTGCATCAGATTTTGCATAATTTATACCAAATGTCATTAAAAACCAAATGTCATTAACCAATTAAATACTGAAAATTGAGATTTGAGAGCACCAGCGGAGGTGGCGGTTATCAGTGAATATAAAAAACCCCCCGGAAATTTCAGTCATAAATGTATCATTTATTTTCTCACACAAAGCAAGAGGATTAGTTATTGATGACAGAACTTTCATTTCTGGTTGAGGTATTACTTTAATGTAGTGAACTGAATTATGACACAATAAACCTGAGCAGAAGTCTGACAAGTCTGACAGAAGTCCCCCGGGTTTTTCTCCCATCATCTTTTATTCTCCCTTCTCTGCAACAGGCGACTACACAGACTTTTACTCATCGAGAGATCATGCCACCAACGTTGGAATAATGTTCCGTGGAAAAGAAAATGCCTTGATGCCCAACTGGTACGTGACAGCCTATTAATATTCCTCACCCTCTTAAATACTAACATCCGAAGCAAGCGTGCAGCCGAATCAATTCAAGTTTTAAAGACCCAGCAAAGTTCCTGTAAGTTATTCCCGTAAACACTAGCTTTATTCTTTCCTAGCGTACGCCTGTCAGGCTAAATAATGCACCTGCGCATTTTCCAGCTCGCTGTGAAAAATGTCTTTTGCAATAACTATTCCCTCCGAAACAGAACCGTATTTCTTGTCACATTTTCACTTACAAGGCCCAGAGAGGGAGTCATTCGCCCGAAGACAGAACAAGGACTCGTGTGGAAATGAAGAGGGAAGTTTTCTGAAATTTAATTTCAGCAGCTCACCTACCTGAAGCTCCCCTCGGCTCAGTCAGTCTGTCACCGCACCGGGCCTTTCCAAACACGTGTCACTTCTTCAGGAAAGAATGAGAATTAGTCTGGAGGAAAATCTATAGTTGATTTACATTGGGCTTGAAGCCGCGGGCCTGAGCTGGGCTTTTGTGGCCGGGGTGAAATTTGGAGTAGGATTTGAAATGAAACGTTAAAGAAGTAGGTCGCAGAGAAGTGTAAATTCTGTCAATATTTACTCACCCTCATGTCACTCCAAACCTGCATGCTGCTATTTGTTCTGTGAAACACAGGAGAATTTTTGAAGAGTGTTTTTGCTCTTTTCAATGCAAAGAATTTCAGTTCTTTGCTCGAGGAGTATCTAATATAGTGAAATGGATGTTAAATTACTACTAAAACTGTGTACGATAATTTGGAGTGATTATGCATAAAAACCTCTTAAATTCAAGTATTATCCTAGCCGGAAATGTATATACAGTACTTTAAAAACCAAGGTCAACTATTTATATTTACCTCCGTTGAAAGCATATCTGACACATTATTGTATAAAGAAATGCCATCATTGTGATTAGGTAGAGAACATATGTTTTTTTAATGTGATAAATGCTTAATATTTTGATTCCTCTGTAATAAATAATTAAATGATTTGCTATTTATAAGAGTTTTATGTGGAAGCCTAAATGCATAATATTTAGGTTATCAATGTGCATTTACTCTAAATATTAAAGTGGAATTTATTTACATATTCATTTGTTTTTCTTTTGTTGTTGTTTGTTTTTTAATATATATATATATATATATAAAACAATATATATGTGTGTGTGTGTGTGTGTGTGTGTGTGTCTGTTACGTATAATCATAACTGAAGGCTAAATCTTACAATATTTCAAAGTTTTTCCATTAAAGCCATTATTTGTCATCCGCTGTTCTTCTTAATGTCTTCTTTTATGTTCTGGAGAACAAAGCAAGTCATGCAGGTCTGGATTAGTGCAACATAAGGAGGCGTAAATGATGACAGAAATGTCATTTTTGGATGTCTTGATCTGAATGAAAACAGCATATCCGTGTGACGCAGCTGACACAGAACAACATACGCTGTTTACATCCAGCTGATATTCTCCAAAATTGCACCAGGGTGATGCGGAGGAGACGAATTGTTGAATAAAGTGTTTTTTGGGGGGGTTTTTTGCGCACACATTTCAGTTGCGTTGCTGTCTATGCAGGGTCAGACAGCTCTCAGATTCCATCAAAAATATCTTAATTTGTGTTCCGAAGATGAACGAAGGTCTTACGGGTGAAACGACATGAGGGTGAGTAATTAATGACAGAATTTTCATTTTTGGGTGAACTAACCCTTTAAAGGATGCAAAATTCACCCAAAAGATGTGTTGTGATAAAGGGAATGACATTTTATCTTGTCCTGTAGGCTGAGACTGCCAGTAGGGTATCATGGGAGAGCTTCATCTGTGGTCGTCTCTGGAGCACCAATCAGAAGACCTCGAGGACAGATGAGACCAGACGCAGGTAAACAAAAGATGGTGGATAAACCACAGACTCATCAACACAAGAAGTTCCTCTGCTGTAAATTTAGAATTTATAAAAACTGAAAATAAACTGTATTGTTTCTGTTTGATTGTGCTTAAAGGAATAGTTCACCCAAAGATGAAAATTTGCTAAAAATGTGCTCACCCTCAAGATGTAGATGAGTTTATTTCTTCATCAGAACAGATTTGGAGTAATGTAGCATTCAATCACTTGCTCACCAGTGGATTCTCTGCAGTGAATGGGTGCCATCAGAATGAGAGTCCAAACAGCTGATAAAAACATCACAATAATCCACAAGTAATCCACACCACTCCAGTCCATCAATTTACATCCTGTGAAGTGAAAAGCTTCCAGCTAAAATGCGAGTCCTCTCTCCATAATATTGATTCTCCAGTGAAAAAGTCACCTTGTCTGAATCAGGAGAGAAATATGCAACAGTCCAAAACTGTTGTAAACAAAATATGCTGGTGGATTTTGATGTGAGAGGACAACGGGAGATTAGCATTATTATGGATTATGGACTCATATTTTGGCCAGAAGTGATGGTTTAAAGTTAAAATGCCTCAATGATAGATATGTTTCTTACAAACACACAGCTTTTCACTTTTTACAGTATGTTAATTGATGGACTGGAGTGGTGTGGATTACTTGTGGATTATTGTGATGTTTTTATCAGCTCTCATTCTGACGGCACCCATTCACTGCAGAGGATCCAGTGGTGAGCAAGTGATGTAATGCTACATTTCTCCAAATCTGATGAAGAAACAAACTCATCTACATCTTAAACTGACTGAGGGTGAGTACATTTTCAGCAATTTTTTTCTGTCAACTATTCTTTTAATAGCCATTAAAAATATTTACAATGCAAAATAAAATCTTAATGGTCCTAAAACAGGCTTTGCTTTTGTTGCAAAATATTATGAAGTTAATTATAGCAGTTAAGTGCACATTGCAGTATTCTCTGTGTGAATAATGAGTTGTGCATTAACATATGGCACAGTCAGCACATTAACAAATAACAATATGTGCATTTGCCTTTTTGCGTCATAGACATCACAGCAATAACAGGCTGATTAATGGCAGCATGTTTCATGAAAAACCTCCATGTAGCTTGGAATGATGGAGCTGTTATGATATTTTCCCATACGTTAAATGATTGCTCTCATTGGTCAGCAAACCCGCACCGCTTATTATTACAGCCTCTCTTGAGAACTGATCTGACACGTGTTTAAGTGGTGACTATAAATATTATGCAGATTCAGTCTGTAATGAACTCTGCTGAGAAATACATCAAAACAGCTGTAAATCTGTTTGTTTCATAACTATGTTTCTCTTTCAGCTCAGCCGCCCATCTTTGGACCTAGCAAGCAGCTAGATATAGAGTTAGAGATGGTGAGTTAAAGTGTTATTTGATATAGTTCATTAGTTTATTAGTTCAGCATGTTATTGTGAGTTGTTGCTGATTCAGTCCTGTGCAGCGATGATATAAGGAACTACAGACTTGCATAGATCTCGATCCTTCCCCATTGTTCCCATAAACAAGGCACGTAATCTCAAGAGAATGTCTTTACAAGAAATGTACTTTCAGTGGAAATGTTTCCAAAATTGCACTCAATTTGTCACTTTCTCCTTGCAGTAATGCTATGTTATTCTGTTGTCGTTTATACTGTATGACTTGGGTTAGAACTAAGTGATAAATCTTGATATTTTGCAGTTGATATTTGAAATTTATATATATATATATATATATATGCGCCCTGAAATGGCTTAAAAGATGAACAGATCATTTTAAACCAAACAGCCATTGTAGCGAATGCTGGAATGCTGTAGATTCAGAATGTTTTAATTAAATGTATTAAATACTTAAACTAATTTAAAAAATTGATGAAATCAGTAAAACTCAGTTAAAATAAATGTTGTCACCAAATATTTAATAGTTATTTCCTGAACATTTAATAATTGTAATTCATATGCAATAATAAAACAATAAAAATTATGATTTTAGATGCATCAAACCAGCTTTCCAGTCACTTTTTAGTCTACAGTGGCTTTGCAATAATCAAAATGTATTCATGTAATTTATTTGTGCAACTGTAAAAGCAACCAGAAATGTAATGAACTTATAAGTGGTGCGAGGCTCTCTGTTATTTACTCATGCACTTATGTGCTACTTGGATAACAATGTATTATTTAATCTCTGTGGCACCTTGCCTTGCACTAGCATTCTGTGTGCTTATGCAGATACTTGTCTCTAAATATGCTGCAATATTCTAAGCATATAAGTTTAGGATGAGATATGCTGATATTATATATTTAATGTGACATTTGTCTTTCAGGCGTTCTTTGTGGGAAAAGGGAACAAGCTGGGAGAGCCCATCCCAGTGGAGAAGGCTCACGAGCACATCTTCGGCATGGTGCTTATGAACGACTGGAGTGGTGAGAACTAACATCTGCAGTGCATATTCTCTTAAATCATCTATGATGTTAAGCTTGTATAAGCTATATACTGCAACACAAGTGTGAAAAACAAATGAAATTTGATAGTGAAAGAAAAAAGGTTGAATTCCATACTTTAGTATTATCATGTATCTATACTGGTATGCGGGACATTTTAAAGAAGTTCACGTCATTAAACCATATTAAGTACTTTACATTGATTGCATTTTGTACTACCATATTGCCACAAAAAAACTCAGTCTTGCTTTTCATTTGTCTTGTCATGTCCAAACAAACACAGTGAAATATTATTGTAAATCTCAATTTATGAATCATACCACAACTCGGTTTCACTTGAGAGAATTTTAATGATATCTTGCAAGGTTTCTTTAACTGTTCGGAGAAGCCTGGCGCAGTGAGTCAGACGTGGCGTGATCTAGCGGTGTTTCCCAGTCAGGCAAGGGTGGCATTTCTGAGCAACAACTGCTGTTAATTCTTTTTATTAGTCCTCTGTCTCTTCCTAAAACTCAGATGGCTCCTTCTTGAGCACACTAAACACATTGCATTTTTATGAGCCGTTGAGCAGACTTGGGAAATGAGAAACACTTTTAGGGCGAGGAGGCAGAGGGAGAGGCTTGGTGAAGTGTGCATGCCAAACTACGTCAGTTTACACAGCATCTGCTTAGCTGTTCAGTTTCCTTTCACAGAATGCTGTTTTGTAGCAGAGTAAGTAAAACACAAGTCTTCTGACTTTTAATGGTTTGTGCCAATCCAATCAAAAAATTTAATGTGCGCAATGAAATATTGTCTGACATCAGTAAGAAACCATAAAAAATCAAGAGATGTTTGGAAACCAAAATTGTACATTTTAAGGATTTTTCATTTACTTTTGTACTTTTGTTTGTTTTTTAACATAAATGCATGTGCATTATTTTGCACATGCGTTACTGTATTGCTCTGCTGCAAAACTTGCAAAGTGAGAGAAATATTATATAAAATATTTAAAAATGAATTTGTTCAATAGCAAAATGCATCAGTAAGTTCTAATAAAAAATGTTGTTTGTAATATAAAAATTACAATGTACTATTTTGCCCATTTGTTTGTTTATTTACTGCTCTGTTGAAAAGTAAGATAAATATGATATATTAAACTTGTAATGTTCAATATTAATATGCATCGATAAGTTGCCATTTAAAAAATGTACTATTTTTCCCAATAATTGTGCATGTTTATTTACTTTTTATGTATTTTATATTTGCCGTTATTTTGCATGCATTACTGTCTTGCTCTGCTCCGTTGCAAAACTTTGTGAACTACATAGCACTCCTTGCAGTAATGCTATGTTATTCTGTTGTCGTTTATACTGTATGACTTGGGTTAGAACTAAGTGATAAATCTTGATATTTTGCAGTTGATATTTGAAATTTATATATATATATATATATATATGCGCCCTGAAATGGCTTAAAAGATGAACAGATCATTTTAAACCAAACAGCCATTGTAGCGAATGCTGGAATGCTGTAGATTCAGAATGTTTTAATTAAATGTATTAAATACTTAAACTAATTAAAAAAATTGATGAAATCAGTAAAACTCAGTTAAAATAAATGTTGTCACCAAATATTTAATAGTTATTTCCTGAACATTTAATAATTGTAATTCATATGCAATAATAAAACAATAAAAATTATGATTTTAGATGCATCAAACCAGCTTTCCAGTCACTTTTTAGTCTACAGTGGCTTTGCAATAATCAAAATGTATTCATGTAATTTATTTGTGCAACTGTAAAAGCAACCAGAAATGTAATGAACTTATAAGTGGTGCGAGGCTCTCTGTTATTTACTCATGCACTTATGTGCTACTTGGATAACAATGTATTATTTAATCTCTGTGGCACCTTGCCTTGCACTAGCATTCTGTGTGCTTATGCAGATACTTGTCTCTAAATATGCTGCAATATTCTAAGCATATAAGTTTAGGATGAGATATGCTGATATTATATATTTAATGTGACATTTGTCTTTCAGGCGTTCTTTGTGGGAAAAGGGAACAAGCTGGGAGAGCCCATCCCAGTGGAGAAGGCTCACGAGCACATCTTCGGCATGGTGCTTATGAACGACTGGAGTGGTGAGAACTAACATCTGCAGTGCATATTCTCTTAAATCATCTATGATGTTAAGCTTGTATAAGCTATATACTGCAACACAAGTGTGAAAAACAAATGAAATTTGATAGTGAAAGAAAAAAGGTTGAATTCCATACTTTAGTATTATCATGTATCTATACTGGTATGCGGGACATTTTAAAGAAGTTCACGTCATTAAACCATATTAAGTACTTTACATTGATTGCATTTTGTACTACCATATTGCCACAAAAAAACTCAGTCTTGCTTTTCATTTGTCTTGTCATGTCCAAACAAACACAGTGAAATATTATTGTAAATCTCAATTTATGAATCATACCACAACTCGGTTTCACTTGAGAGAATTTTAATGATATCTTGCAAGGTTTCTTTAACTGTTCGGAGAAGCCTGGCGCAGTGAGTCAGACGTGGCGTGATCTAGCGGTGTTTCCCAGTCAGGCAAGGGTGGCATTTCTGAGCAACAACCGCTGTTAATTCTTTTTATTAGTCCTCTGTCTCTTCCTAAAACTCAGATGGCTCCTTCTTGAGCACACTAAACACATTGCATTTTTATGAGCCGTTGAGCAGACTTGGGAAATGAGAAACACTTTTAGGGCGAGGAGGCAGAGGGAGAGGCTTGGTGAAGTGTGCATGCCAAACTACGTCAGTTTACACAGCATCTGCTTAGCTGTTCAGTTTCCTTTCACAGAATGCTGTTTTGTAGCAGAGTAAGTAAAACACAAGTCTTCTGACTTTTAATGGTTTGTGCCAATCCAATCAAAAAATGTAATGTGTGCAATGAAATATTGTCTGACATCAGTAAGAAACCATAAAAAATCAAGAGATGTTTGGAAACCAAAATTGTACATTTTAAGGATTTTTCATTTACTTTTGTACTTTTGTTTGTTTTTTAACATAAATGCATGTGCATTATTTTGCACATGCGTTACTGTATTGCTCTGCTGCAAAACTTGCAAAGTGAGAGAAATATTATATAAAATATTTAAAAATGAATTTGTTCAATAGCAAAACGCATCAGTAAGTTCTAATAAAAAATGTTGTTTGTAATATAAAAATTACAATGTACTATTTTGCCCATTTGTTTGTTTATTTACTGCTCTGTTGAAAAGTAAGATAAATACGATATATTAAACTTGTAATGTTCAATATTAATATGCATCGATAAGTTGCATTTAAAAAATGTACTATTTTTCCCAATAATTGTGCATGTTTATTTACTTTTTATGTATTTTATATTTGCCGTTATTTTGCTTGCATTACTGTCTTGCTCTGCTCCGTTGCAAAACTTTGTGAACTACATAGCACTGCATGCATGACAGACAAATTGATAGAAATATTATATTATATATTAAACATTTTTCATCATTTGTTCAAACATAAAATGCATCACTAAGTATCACAAAATGCATCACGAAGCAATTTAAAAATCGACTATTTTGCCCAATATTTTTGTGTATTTATTTACTTATGTACTTTTTGTGTATTTTATATTTGCCATTATTTTGGACATGCATTTGTGTTTTCGTTTCAATGACAAACTGTCTCAGGAATGCTTATGTTTTTTTTTTGGCTGCTTCCTTCCAGATTTTACTTTACATTCAGTGTTTTCTTCCTTGCATTTTTTTTTTAGAAAACCTCTCTTTTCTCCTCCAAAGTTCCTTCCTCACCAGAAGCGAGTTCCAGTTCTCATTTGAAACACATTCCTCAGAAATGCTGCATGTCTTCTAGCGAGAGTCTGTCAGAATTATGCAGAGGGTAGATATCTGTATGTTATATGAGTACAGCTCCAGAATATCTTGTGCTGTTTGGAACAGTTCGTGCAGAGCAGAGCGATGCCGTCTTGATGGTGTGTAGTGGCGTCTCTTTGGCATCTGTTCTGCGTAAGGCTGCGAGAAATAATCTGATGCATCAGTCTGGATGAGATTTCTAGATAAATTAATGGATTTGAATCGCAATGAATAAATAAAGAAATGAGATGGATAAAGAATAACAATGCTGTGAGGCTGCAGACTTTATGAAAACTTGCAGTTTCAAATTCAATAATCTCGTCTAATGTGACTGAATTTATTTGTCTGGACAAAAGCTTTATTGGGCTTATTTTGCCAGCAAATTTTGGTTTGGAAAATTGAATTATATTGCATTGTAATGTATTATGGTGAAGTGTGAAAATTTACACTGCAGCAAATTATTCCTTAATTAATCAAATTGTAGAGTTTATCTCTAACACACTGTTGCAACTACATAGTCAGCATTTTGAGGGATCATATGCACACTTCAACTACACAGGCTGATACACAATGTTCAAAGATGCCTTTTTTTAAGCCAAACTGTAAGGCAGCATTGCATGTGTGACAGACAAAGTGAGAGAAGGATTATTATATATATATTATATATTAATAAGATAACCAAAATACGTCAATAAAACTAGTTTTTAATTTAAAAAAGTACTATTTGGTCAATATCTGTGTGTGTTATGTATGTTTATGCTTATTGGAGTGTTAGAATGTTGTGTCTTTAATGGAAAGTTCCATCTTAGAAAGTAGCTGCCTATGTAGGCTGTAGATATCAAGGCAACTCACTGGGATTTGGAACACAGCCTGTTTGTGCATGAGTAGTGATGTGTGCAATGAATAACTGCACATTTAATTTGAAAAAACTAATTGAATTTAGTCAAAGATGAGGAAATAGCACAGGTAATGATCCATCCTTGCCAAGATTCAGGCAAGCAGCAGAAGAGATAAAGTTTAAAGAGAGTGTAAATGCATCTAGTTGTTCAGGACTCATGCATTTAAACTGTTTTCAGCGGGGTACATGTTTGAAAGAAAGTTTGTAGCCCCGCAAAACTCACTGCCAGAATGCCAGTGCATGATCCGTATAGGTTACTTACTCTATGCAGTGTCTTTATCTCTTTTATGTTGCAGCTCGGGATATCCAGGCTTGGGAATATGTTCCATTAGGTCCGTTCCTGGGCAAGAATTTTGGGACCACTATCTCGCCCTGGGTCGTTCCCATGGAAGCACTGATGCCCTTTGTCGAGCCCAATCCGGTCCAGGTAAATTGGGTCAATTCTAAGTGTAGGAGTGTGAATATTTTGGGAATGGGATGACACTATAAATACACACAGTCATTTATTACTGCATTCCTAATGGGTTGAAAATAGCTGCATGCACAATACATCGGCATCTGCTTTTTCCTGTTTATCAGTAACAGTCTATATTGGATATTTTATAGTTTCCTGTTTATCTTTTATGTTGCAGCTCGGGATATCCAGGCTTGGGAATATGTTCCATTAGGTCCGTTCCTGGGCAAGAATTTTGGGACCACTATCTCGCCCTGGGTCGTTCCCATGGAAGCACTGATGCCCTTTGTCGAGCCCAATCCGGTTCAGGTAAATTGGGTCGATTCTAAGTGTAAGAGTGTGAATATTTTGGGAATGGGATGACACTAGAAATACACAGAGTCATTTATTACTGCATTCCTAATGGGTTGAAAATAGCTGCATGCACAATACATCGGCATCTTGCTTTTTCCTGTTTATCAGTAACAGTCTATATTGGATATTTTATAGTTTCCTGTTTAGTTTAAGATCATACTGTATGTGATGCCTTCCAATCTCTATATGCTATGTATTAAAAGACTTAATTTTTCAGGTTTTGGCCATTTGCATTTTTACTTATTTTAAGATTGTATTGTAGCATTTCACAGGGACAGGTTAAGGTAGATTATGGAAAAAGTATTTGAGAGCCCCTTCTCTTTAAATGCACAAGATGAATATTTATCCATATAATATTCATTTTATAGGCCATAACATGAAAATAATTGTCAGCTTATTGAGACTTTTTTTTTTAAATAATACTTTTATTTTGTAAAGATGCATTAAATTGATCAAAAATAAGAATAAAGACTTTTAAATTGTTACAAAAAATCTATTTCATATAATTGCTGTTCTTTTGAACTTTCTGTTCAGAGAATCCTGAAAAGGCACAAAAATAACAGTTATTTGAAATTGTAATAATATTTCACAATATTACTGTTTTATTGTATTTTTTTTTATCAAATAAATGCAGCCTTGGTGAGCATCAACTTTTCAAAAATATTTTTAAAAACAGGAATAAATCACATTTTAAAATATATTCAAACAGAAAACAGTTATTTGAAATTGTAATAATATTTCACAATATTACTGTTTTATTGTATTTTTTTTATCAAATAAATGCAGCCTTGGTGAGCATCAACTTTTCAAAAATATTTTAAAAAATCTTACCGACCCCAAACTTTTGAACGGAAATGTATATTTTCAGCTTATTGTCTCTTTTTTTCTGTTCATTTCCAAAACCTGCTGTCTACTACATATATAGACAGCATCCTTACTGAAGCTAAACCTTATAAGTGAATGATTTGGATCTCTCTACATAGGCAGCAGCTCCGTGTGTCACACAAATAGCCCTTCTTCATGCAGAACGGATGGGTGTCTTTAGAAGGCAACATAATCATGCCTCTTTGGTAGAAGCTCTTTGGTGCCTTTAAAACGCTGCTTGCATAGGCTGTGGACAGAGTATCCGATTAGCACCTCAGGAAAGGCCATTGCAGACTCATTATCTTTACAAATGATGGTCATAGTTCAAATTTATTCAACTTTACAGTCCTGTTACAGCTCTGTGGAACGGACACTTCATCATCACAGACGGCAGAGTGCAGACTTTGCATATAAGCGGGAAATGAGACGTGCTAAAGGCCTTTCTTTGAGTTACTGCTTTCCTCTTTCTCTACAACATCCAGCGAATGAGGCAAAAACACATCTATATTCTCTTTTTACGCATTTATTTGTTGGATCAGTGATTCTCAATTGATGGGTCGCCACCCAAAAATGGGCTGCAGGTCTGTTCTGATGCTTTAAGGCTAATGTAGTTTTTTATTTGCAGAAGTTCAACATGAGTTCTTAGATTTTTGTAACAGCAAATATTTATTGACTGTAATACTTTTTGTGCAACTGGCAAAAAAAATGGAATCTTAGGTTTTAAAAATAATTTTAAATGTTTAATATGTTTAATATTTTAAACCAGTTTTTATATTTTCCATTTTTATTTTAAATTAAATTTTTTTAAGTTTTAGTAATTTTGTTCTTTTTTTTTATGTTTTTGTAATTTTTAGTATTTTAGTTTTTTTTATATGTCTGCAGTTTTTATAAATTTTTATTTCAGTTTTAGTTTTTAGTTATTTTAGTACATTAAGTTAAACTAATTAAAATGAGAAATATTGCCTTGGCAACAAGCTGAAATAGGTTTTTTTTATTTTTATATTAAGTTTTATTTTTTTATATTTTTATTTTATTTCAGTTAATTTTTTAATTCAAGTAACGAAATGTTTTTTAATGGTTTTAAATTGAGTTAAATCAAATAACCATAGTTTAAATTCATTTATGAATTTCATCTCCATCACACAGCATTTTTCTCATTTCCATCAATCAGCAACCCAAATAATGTACACAACAGTGTTATATTAGTATCAATGGTATTCCATTATAGTTTTTATTAATATTTTTAATTAGATTGCATTTTTGTATTTTCTTTTTTCACTCATTTTCTTTAACATGTTAGAAATTTTATTGTGCATTTTTGTTGTTATTTTAAACAAAAAAAAGTATTTTTTATTTATTAGTTTTAGGTATTGTAGTACTTTAGCTTGAAAATGAGAAACACTGAGAAATAAATGAGAACAAGAAATGTTGTCTTGGAATAAAATCTGAAATAAAATGTTTTTATATTTTATTTTATATCAAGTAACGAAAATGTTTTTTTTTCTGTTCTTAGTTTTAGTTAACGATAATAACCCTGACACACAGCAGCAACAAATAAACATATATAAAACATTAAATATAAGAAAATATTAAAATTAAGGGTCCTCAAAATAAAAATTGTGCATAGATAAAACTGGTATATTTATTATTTATTTATGTCTGATTGCACATCAACATTTAAATGGCTTTTTTTACCTGCATAACTCTGTAGCTCCAGCAGCTGTCTGGACTATGTGAACCAGACAAACCTTGACTTCCTGATGCAAATATTGAGTTCAGATGTGCCTTTCTGCCTCCATATGTACTGCCTGAGTAGACTTCATTTTTCAGGTTTTGGCTGAGATGTGTGCTCAGTTTTCTTCAAATTATTTTTCAGGACCCTGTGCCTCTTCCATACTTGCGTCACGATGACCCCTATACGTTCAACATCAACCTCTTTGTCGCTGTGAAAGGTGTGTGTCAGTATCTGTAACATCTGTCTGTCATTAATGTGCATATGCTGCATGTTACAGTGCTCAGTCTTGTTTTCTTCTCGTTTATTTCTCATCTGTTCAGGTGAGGGGATGCGAGAGGCCGTCACTATTTGCAAGTCCAATTTTAAGGTAAGAGATAGTTTTGCATTTGTTTTGCATTGGCACATTGCAGTTCCAGAAGTAACTCATACTGACAACTCTTACTGTACCCATTTGATTATACATGAGTTTCCCTGAAAAAGCTCCAGCATGAACCAGATATTGAGCAGGAAAGAATCAAAGATGGCATAGAGCAATTGCATAAGGCAATGATAAACATACTCTACACAAATATGCAGAATGGCTGGCCAACATAGTGTAAGCGTTGAGTCATACTGGGACAAGAAACAACAAAGAACTGATCATTTGGGCCAAATAAAAATGTAACCCTGCCCTTTGCACCCAATAGAGATTATTTTCATCCCCACTGGAATTGTTTTGTCGTTTTCTGTGCAAAAATACACACTCTTGCTGTTTATATGGTGTCTGTTTACGATTACCTGATTTGCATAATTCCATTAGTGAATCAGGCACTTAAACATCACAGACTGTGCAGAGCAAATAAACAAAGCTATTCATTCTCAGTGCCTCTGTGTTGGGCTCCTTGTGTTATTGGTTCTGGGAGAAACCCATTCCATTTCCATGCTTTCTGTATCGTCACATGCAGAGAAAGCCATTTTCTCATTTAGTAACAGACAAGCAGGTGCGTGTAATGTGTTGTGTGTCTTCTCAGTACATGTACTGGTCCATGAAACGTGATATATAGAATACATTAAAGAAACACTTGAAAAAGAAAAAAAACTCTTGATGTAGATCTCGTGATCTTGAACTCGTGATTTAGATCAAGGCCTAACGAGTCAGATCAGTTCTGAAACCTTAAAATAAGAATTTTATTCATTTTATTATTTATTCATTTAAGTAAATATCATGGAATTCATATTGATATTTTTATTCTAATTCAATGTTAATTTTAATAAATATTATGATAAATATATTATATATAAATAATATTAATATAATATAATAACATTATATAATGAACATTAATTATTACATGTATCTATAATTATTAATATATATTTATATTTTGATATTAGTATTAAATATAAAAAAATTGGTAAATAAACTGGAAGACACATTTACATTTTGATATGTGAACCATTAAATCCAGTAAATAATATAATAATTAACATTAATCATTCATTTCAACTGCAATCAATAATATTAATAATAATTATAAAAAATTGCAAATGTTTGTCTTCTGTAAAAACAATTGCTTGAGAAATGAACATTTATACTTAATCTGTTATCTCAATTAATTCTGTAAATGATATAATAATTAACTTTAATTATTTAATTTTAACGATTAATTATAATAATAAAAATAATTAATTTAGGTAAATAAACTGGAACACACATTTATATTTTAATATTATTTCAATCTTTTAAATTCAGTAAATGATATAATAATTAACTTTAATTATTACATTTAACTATAATTAATATTTTTTTAAAAAGCAATTCAAGTAAATACACAGGAAGCTACATTTATTTTTTTATATCATTTCAATCCATTAAATTCTGTACATAATATAATAATCAACATTATTATTTATAAAAAATATTATTTTAAATAAATGCACTGGAAGACACATTTATATTTTTAGATCATTTCAATCAGTTAAATTTAGTAAATAATACAGTAATTACCATGAATCATTTGAACTGTAATTAATAAAATAGTAAAAAATAATTAAGAAATATGTTTCTGCATAGAGCTGTATTAAATAGTACTGCCTCTGTATTTGTGTGCATGAAGGATCCAGAGAGTTTCGGCTCTATGCTGGAGCTCTCATGGCGAGGATCCAAGACTATTGACCTCGGCGATGGAGAGACAAGGACCTTCCTGAAGGACGGGGACGAGGTCACTCTCACAGGTGGGCTTTTAGAGTCTGCGTGTGCATGTTTAATGTTGGAGAGATGTCTGTTGATGGAAATATGATCTCTGTTGTGTCGCTTCTGGACTCTCTCTGTGCAGGTCATTGTGAGGGTAGGGGCTATAGAGTGGGATTCGGTCTGTGTGAGGGGAAGATCCTTCCTGCCCTGCAACAGTGACGCTGCTCTCTGTCCGTCTGTCTCTCCTTCTCTCCTGTAAGCCAGACAAAACAGCCATGCATTCATAATTTCTGAGTAAAACAAGATATTCGATAAGAAATAATGTAGGGTGGAACTTGATTTTATCCATCGGGATTGATCGGATTGTGAAAATTGGTCATTAAATATGAAGGAAAATGTAAAAGAACTTGTTTCTTTAGATAACCTTTGAGATCTTAGGAAAATATGTCGCTAAAATAGTAATGCGTCATCTTTATTGGCTTCCATATGCTTGAAAACAGTCATTCATTTCTGCAATTCAACTAGTTTTTGCAGAAATGACACATTTGAATTGCTTTGTCATTCTGTGTTACTGAAAAATAATTCAATAAAGTTACTGATTGCTTTTAAACTGTCTTAAGTCATGCTATTTTATTTTATTATGTCTATAAATCATTTGGCCATTCCATGTTGCTGAGCTAATGATTTGATACAATAAAAATACATCACACCACACAAATATTGGGTAAAATAGTACATTAAGTAATAATAATTTTTGCTTTTCAGTATTAATTGAATGAATATATATATAAAGGAATTTCTCTCGTTTCATCTTGGAAGCGTTTTTGTACTGCAGTGAATTCTGGGATTGCAAAGAATGCATTGCAAAGGTAATAAAACAGAGCCAAAAAGAATATATAAGCAGTGTGAGTAAAAAAGATAACGTATAACATTATAACTGGATATGTGATAAACAAGATGTTTAATGTCATTGCTACCTCCATCATATTTGAAATGCAACTTGAAACTGTAGGATTCATGCAGCAGTGTTTCTTCTTGCAGTTGCAGAGCCAGACTGTCAGGGACTGTCAAACAGGTAAAATAACGGGTCACTGCTTGAGCCTTCTGTCTGTGATGGTGGGTTTGTCTCACATCACCACATCATTAGCAAGCCTTTCAAAGCTTTTGAGTGAAGTGAATGATGCTGTAATTACTGTCCGGTCCAGACTGAACAGGCCTGATGTGTGTATCAAATAAACTGATGCTCTTAAACTCGGGAAGATTAAACAGTGATTAGAGGTGCTTGTTAAATTGAACATTCACTGTTTTTGCCATTGCTGTTTCATGTTAGTGATCTGAATCTTTGTTTTATTTGTTTATTTTAATTAATTTCTTGGCACATGTACTATGTTGCTGCTACCATGTTTTTTGGATTGTATGTTTTTATTTTATTTTACAACATAATTGTTTTATTGACGTGTACCTGTTCCATGGTACTACTTTGTTTCTGTTTGTATTTTATTTACATTTTATTTCTTTTTTTCCACATGTACTATGGTGCTACCAAGTTATTATTATTATTTTTTTACATGTACCATGAAAATATTTTTAAGGTACGCACTATACCATTGTAGTGAATTTTTATTTAATTTAATTAATATTTATACAATAATTATGCAATTTATATATACTTTTTTTTTTTGTTGCACATTTACTATTTAACTACCATGTTTTTTTTCTGTAGGTTGCCTCTTTCATGGTACTCCTTAGATTTTATTTTATTTTATTTTTGGCACATGTATCATGGTGCTACCACAGTGTTTTTTTTTGTTTTTTTCACATTTAGCACACATTTACCGTGGTATTTCCATGTATTTTTTGGATGGGTATCATGGAAATACTATGGTTTTTTTTTTTAAACATGAACTATTTACTGAATTATCTTTGATATTTGAAGTAATTATGATATTAATATGTGTACCATCACCATTAATCATGGTATCACCAGTGCGTTTATGTAAAGGCAGATGGTACGGATAATCTGAGACACATTTAAACCGCAAAATGAAAAATAAAATATATATGAAATATACCTATTATAAATAAGTTGTTGTGACAGACCCTTCCATTAAGACTCCTCTGCAGTGAATCATTTGTGCTGTATCTCACGAGCTGCTAACAGATGGTGCTGAGTGTTTTTAGCCGTGCGGTGGAGTCCACGAGGGCCGTCTGTGAGTCATTGCGTCATCCGAGGTCAGATGGTCCATTCACGACTCCTTCAGCGTAAGTGTGAACGTGTGAGCGCTCGTGTTGTTTTACAGACAGAGATGGAAGGATCCTGGTTTCTCTCTTACTGTGTGTTTCTCCCCCTCTGTGATCAGACTTTTATCCATGAATCTTGGCGGCCTCACAGATGGACTTCTAGCGTTTGACCCCTTTCGCTTCGTGAAGGAGAAAAACAGGTGATAAATCTCTGAATACAGTTTGTGCTACCAATAAAAGTGTGGTGCTGTCAGCTCCATTTAACACATTTTAGCATGGTTGAATCGCTTCTACAGAATTAAGCAGATTAACTAGTAGAAAACCAGTACAAAAAGTCTGCAGATTTCACCTGGGTCTGGTCATTTAGTACCATTAAGTGTTGTTATCATTAACTAAAACTAAAACTCTTAACGTTTTTGTTAATTGAAAGAAAACTGAAATAAAATAATAGATCAAAAACAAACTTTAAAAAATAAAACGCTGAAGTACTAAATTTACTAAATCTAAAAATAAATGAAAGCTATATATGTCACGTTTATTTCCTGATCTCCTATCATTTGTTCTTTGACCTAGTTAGTTGCCCTGATTAGTTCATTCTGTTCACCTGTGTAGCTTCCGTCACCTTGTTAATGATCTCGTTTGCTCCTTTTGTTTGCCTGTCCTTATTAGCCTTCTGTTTCTGTCTACTCTTTGTCCTGTATTGATGTTTACTTAATGCACTGGTCTCAAACTCAATTCCTGGAGGGCCACAGCTCTGCACAGTTTAGCTCCAACCCTAATCAAACACACCTGATCCAGCTAATCAAGGTCTTCAGGATCACTAGAAACTTCTAAGCAGGTGTGATTTGGAGCTAAACTCTGCAGAGCTGTGGCCCTCCAGGAATTGAGTTTGAGACCACAGATTTAATGGAATATGTGTGTTGATGTTAATGTTAATGAGTTCTCCTGGTTATTCTCCTGTCCTTTGTTTTGAAGTTAGAACTAAAGACTATTTACGTTTACTCCATCGTCGTGTGCTTTACTACAACCACGTCCTGTGTATATATATACACTTATTTTTTATTAACTTTTTATTTTTATTTTTATTTCCAATTTTCATTTTTTTTTTTTGTTTGCTTCATTTCATAGGAATCGTGTGTGCGTGCACGGCTTTAATCATTTGGGTCCCTGGATCAGAGTGTTATTAGTGAAATTCATGGGAGACACATTTAATCAATGCAGAGGGACATTATACATGCAAATGTGCAAAACGTGAATCTTTTATTTTTTTCACACTTCATTTCAAAACACAGACCAAAAACAGATGGTAATATTACGACTACACAGATACTAACAAAGAGACATTTATTATTATCAATGTTATTATTATTATATGTGACCCTGGAGCACAAAAGCAGTCTTAAGTCGCTGGGGTATATTTGTAGAAATAGCCAAAAATACATTGGGGTTTGATGGATGGGAATCTGTCAAATCTGTTTTGAGGGTGTGGAAAGAGCCAAGTCAGCTTGACATCGAGTAGGAATACAGTAAACTAGATGTTAGAAAACATAAATGGAGCAGCCTTTGAAATTCAAATGTGTGTTATTTTAGTATCACTGGTGTATTATACTGTAGTTTTTGTTAATGTTTTGTATTAGATTTTATATATTTTCTGTTTTTAATTTAATTTTAAAGTTTTAGCAGTTGAAGTTAGTTTTAATTTTGAAAAAATATATCTACATAGTTATTATTATTATTATTATTGTTGTTATTTATTAGTTTTAGTTTATTTAGTTTTAGTTATGTAGCTCTTCAAGTTAACTAAAAGAAAATGAAAAATGTTGCCTTGTCAACTAGCTGAAATTACGTTTTTTTCTATATGTATGTTTTTTAAATCTATATTTTTTATATTTAAAAGTTCAACTGCTGCCTTAAATATTTATGTATCATCAAATTTGCAAATTATTACAACTTTATATTAAACTGACTTAAAAATATTTAAATCTTGGATAGATTTGAAACTTTGATAAAGAACTTTGATAATTATACTGAACTTAATTGAACCCTTGTGTCACGAACGAGACTCCCGCCGTGCCTCCCGCACACCACCAGAGGGAGCTCTCTCCCAAGTTTTGAACTTCATCCGGCCTACACACACTCACACTCACATACCTGGCTCTGATTGCTCCTGCACCTGACTCTCGTTAAGTGGACTATTTAACCAGCTCTCAGACTCTCCCTCATTGCACGTCTCTGACTACGATTTGGCTTCTCTCCTCTGTTGTGTTTGCTGGTGTCTGACCTTGCCTGTTTGATTACGATTTCAATAAAGCTGCAGATGGATCCTTACTCTGTTGACGTCTCGTTACAGAAGACTTCGCCATTACATGATCCAGCGGCTCTGGCTCAACTTACTACGGAAGTATCAGCTCAGGCAAATCAACTCGCTGTTCATCAACACCAGCTGGCTCGACTGACAACACTACCTGAGGAGCTTGTTAACGTGCTGCGGAGTATGCGCCTTTCATCTCCGGAATCAGCACTTAATCAGCCGAGCATGGACACGTCATTCTCTTCCACTCCCTCGATGAATCCTCGCCTGGCTCTTCCAGACAAATTCGACGGAAACCCCACGAAGTGTAAGGGATTTCTGTTGCAATGCTGCTTGTGAGGGAAGGGTCATGCACACCACCGTGGACTTATGTTTGGAGACCGGGACCCTTCACACGGAGAGCATTCGTTTCTACATCATCACTTCACCACATAACCCGGTAATTCTCGGACTTCCCTGGTTACGACAACATGACCCACTCATCTCCTGGAAGGAGGGTCGGATCATTCAGTGGGATCCTTCATGTCAAGTCAAGTGTCTGAGCAACAAACCAGCAATCTCAGTTCAAGCCGTCAAACTCACGGAGGAATCAGCTCACTCATCTACACTTCCCTCAGAGTACACGGACCTCGTGGAGGCCTTCAGTAAATCCAAGGCGTCAGAACTACCTCCTCACCTCTCTAGCGACTGCACTATTGACTTACTACCAGGCACAACACCACCCAAAGGCAGTATCTTTCCTCTATCTCAACCAGAGTCGGAGGCTATGAAGAACTATATCAACGTGGAACTTTTTGAAGGATTCATCAGACCATCAATCTCCCCTGCATCAGCAGGATTCTTCTTCGTTAAGAAAAAAGATGGAGGTCTACGTCCATGTATCGGTTACCGAGGTCTCAACGACATTACTGTTAAATTCCGATACCCATTACCCCTAGTACCATCTGCCCTGGAGCAACTTCGCAAGGGAATCTCCCCTCCCGAATGCCCTCCCGATAAGATCTTTGTGCCTCAGGAAC